TGTTAATCGATCGTAAATTGCGTTGCAATTGTGCACCTTTCTCTATGACTACTTTAAAAAAAAATCTATTCCCAGAATTTGTTATATTATACAACTATATAATGGTACTATCGACGCAATAGATACTACTACTGCTCCGAAAGTTCATGTTTTAAAAAAATACATATTTTACCACGAAATTCAGAGCAATAGTAGTATCGATCCTTTTAGAATCTCAAACGAGAGACGCATAATATTATTATAATACCGAAATGTATATTATTATTATTATCAAGTAACATGCGCTCGGCGGCGACCGGCGAAACAGCGTGGCGCGACGCAACAATGATGTCGAAGAATACTGTACAGCGCCAGATCGCTAGCTCGGACATCCTGCCAGTAAAGGTCTACCGCCGTCATTGTTTCCGCAATAAGTTATTATGCAGATCTCTCCATTTAAATATTTCGCATAATTCATTTGCCCATTTCGAGGTTAAATAAACCGCAAAAGTTACGGCGGGCCGTGCGAAAAAAATATCTCCTTCAAAAACACAATAATATAATATATATAAAACGAAATATAAGTCCTATGTCGAGCACACGTCTAGAAACATGTTATTTCGGTTCAATATATAGTTTATTCAAAATCGACTGAGGCACAATATTTACAGGAATAATAATATAGAAACCAATTTCGAACGCATTTATTTTATTTTATTCTTGAATTTAATGAGCTATTGTTTCTATTGTCTGTTAGGTTGGTATTAAAGTATTACTTATGCCATGTGGTCTGCTTGCATGCAAACGGTAAAACAAATATCTTGTCACAATATACGGATAAAGATGAAATCATATAAAGCATATTTTTTTAAATAACCCAATACAATGTCCATCTCTAAAACAAACACTCAGGATCTTAAATATTATTTTTTTTATTTTTTTTTTCTTCTATGAGACATTTACACCTACTTATTTATCAGATCAAAATGTCAAAAAATATATAATTAAGTTGCACTGATTTAGTCAATCGTATTAATAAAATACATTTAATATTAATAATGTTACTGATAAGCAGTTTTGATACGTATGATATAGTGTTATAGTTTCAACCTAACTAATATAAAAATCAGTAATACATTTAATAGGTGAAAGTCAAAAAGTTAATGAAAACAGGCCAATAATACTTTATCTGTTTACTAAATAGTCAATATATAATATTTATTTTTAACTAATACTTATACTACGTTATAAATATTAGGGGTAGTGAAAAATTAAATATAAAATTAGATGAATAACTTTATTTTTCTTAGGTAAAATAGATGAGACGGTTTTAAAATTTAATCCGAAATAATTAATTAGTTTATCAACTTAGAAATCGAAAAATCGAAAAATCGAAAAATCTACTAAAATAATACAAACATGACCAATTTAAATAAAAATGTCTCAAAAACAATGTACAAATATTGTTTATCGTAATAAATAATAATATTATATGATTTTTCTAAGTGGTGTGTTAAACAAATATTTAACGATTTCAGCATATTTTTGAACAAGGTGATATTTTATTTTTATTTTGAACTCTTAACTATTGAAATTATTTACATTTCTATATTTGTATAAGTGTATAACTAATATTTAGTAACTATTATATTGAGCTCTATAAAAGCTCTACTAAAAACACAAAAAAAAAATCACAATTTTGTATAATATTCTGACTGATATAATTTGTAATTGAAAAAACAGCAATCTGTCTTAAATTGTAACTCGTAGTATAACTCATTAATCACTATAGTAATTAGATTAATACAAAAAATAAGCAAGTATGAAATGATTAAAATCAATTAAAATTTAAAAGATAGTAGGGATTCAAACACTGTATCTGTCTCTTCAGTAAAATAACTTATAGGCTATAGCTAATAAATGATAAGTTCATTACTAAGTATTAATTAGATTAAAAAAAATAAGCAAAAATATCAAGAAAATTACCTGAAAATTACCTTGTGCAATATTTCTAATTAAAAAAAAAATTAACTGTATTCCTTGGGAAAAAGTTTTGAAAATAAGATATTTGCTACATTCCATTTTAATATTTGATTCTAACTCATGAATATTTTATACCAAGTAGATCATTCTGCATCATTCAATATGTTTACAAAAACTATGTAAAGTGTACAATGTACAACCTTTTAATTTCCCCTCGACAACAAGATTTAAGAACATGATAAAATAATACACAGGTTGAACGACACGATCATCCAGAAATCAATAAAAAAAAAAAATTTTCAGGTTAGGTACATGGCAATTTAAGATTATTTCACCCTCAACCATTTGTATTATATACATATTAAGGCCTCCTTTTTACAATAATTGATAGAGATTTAAGAGTATTTAAGTTTATAAGTTTATTGGAACATAATCTTAAAAAACAATCGACTCTGTAGAGAAATCAATATCTCTAACTCTTCCTGCCAGCCTATAACCATAGGCCTTTTCTATCTGTGAATAATGAATATAGAACAATAACATTTAAAAAAATGTTACATTTGCTTTTTATCACAGTCAGAATATTATGCTGTCTATAAAATGTATTATTTTCAACAATAGTGCATAATTCATATCCATTAATTGTAAGCTCTAATTATTGGTGGTTAAAAATTAAAATAATAAATACATATATAAGTAACAAAATAATAAACAATTCTTAAAAAAGAAATCATAATTCTATTTATTTTTAATTTTTCATCAAAAATATTCATCAGCATTTAAAAAAAAAAAAATAAAACAGAATACATTTTTTTAAAAATCTAACGGTTGTATAACATCAATTTAAATAAACTGATAAATATTTAAAAAACTTTGAATGCAATATAGTTTCATTAAATAATTATAGTGTAACACTACTTTTTAAAAAAAAAAAATCTAGAAATTGTTACATTGCTACATAGAACTCATCCCACAATAGCTTAATCATAATAATTCAAAAAGAATCAAATATTGTGTGCAATTTAATATCACTTTAAGTGCCTAATGATGTACTTGATCAAAAATGTCTAATAGATAGGTAATATTGTTTTATATTGTCAACCAATAATTCAGTTTATAAGGAAATGTTTAAGTTCTAAAACCGAATGAACGCAAGTACATAATATAATATAATCATCCGCATAAAATATTTACAAAACTATCAATTTTAATAAAAACAATTAATTTAAATAAACATATAAACAGCTATACAACTATACCCTTAATGACCGTGGTATATTTCATATATTTTAATGTTATTTATTTTGGCATTTGACATGTAATTGCTTTTATGAACATAGTATTTTAATGCACCTGCCAGTGGAGTGTGCACACAATGCAAAATCCTGAGAATTCAATGCAGCATTAAAATATAGTATTGGTACCTATATATTTCTTTCGGAGAATTAAATAACCAAGGTTTGATTTTATGAAATTACATAGTTAAAATATCTCAGATCATGACGTCATTATTTTTTAACAATTAGAAATGACAAAGAGATGTTTTCTATCACCGGTACCGATAGCGTATTGGTATTGAAAATGATCAATACCTTTCGCTGGAATTGATGAATAACCTATAGCTGCTATTACTTTAGTATTTCAATAAGGGGTATAAAAATAAAAAGCTTTTTTTCAGTTCCTTTTTACCCAATTGCGCCGATGGTAAGAGGTTTCGGTATTGTTTTTTTTTACTAACTCTTGCCTAAAAATAAATTACCTATTATGTGTCGTTCACACATACACACACGTTTACAGTGAAATTGTAAAATTTCCGCTTATTTTTATTTTTTTTTTAATAGCTTTGGCAATGACTGTAGTAGGGGTCAACCTTTAAAGGCCGGCACGTTGTTGAGGCTAAACAATAATAGACGTGTACACCGACAATACTCTGGACCCTGGGGGATTTAATTCAAATCCACGACCTTTGTTCCATTTCAATTCGCGGTGTTGCTCTTTGCAATTATTGTTTTTGCCATAAAGTATATACTATTGCGAAAAAAAAATTCCTGAACAGACGCCAAAAATAAACATTTTTACTTGTTTAGAGAATGACGAATTGGTGTAATAATAATCCAAAGTCACCAATACGTGATATAATATCATAATGATAACATAGGTATTGAAAGTATCAAGATTTTCAAGGAATAAATTGGAGTGTATCGATACGTATCAGTAAATTTTGAGCCTTCAAGAAGTTACACGTAGAATATACAAGCGATACGTACCGAGCCGTATAAGACTCAAACTTCAATACGAGTAGGTACGTAACTATTTCCTATTTCTCCTTGAATATCTTGTATGTATTATAAATTCGTATAGTTGCAAGAATGAAAATTTAGAAGGTTTATAAAAAAAAATTCTCAGAACCATAAGAAAAAAATCAAATTTAATTCTTAACAATATTGAATTAATTATTAAAGCATTTATACATTTTATACTGTATCTGTATATATTCTTTTCTAAATAAAATTTAAAATTAATTTATCAAGACGCATTCAATAAAAACAAATCTCTAAAAAATTCTGTTTCGTTATTTTATGACATGCAAGATAATACAAACAATATAGTTTTTTTTTAATATTTCCAAAAATATATTGAGAAAAATAAAACCTCAGTGAAATTTATAATTTCAATAATATTTACAACACTTATATCAAAAGCCAACAAATATATCATTCCAGGGACAGAAATATATAAGTATCAATAATTATAGTTAGTATAGAAGTTCGTATAGTTATAGAGTTGTTTTTATACTAGCTCCTTGGTAAAACACCAAGTGCCAAATAATTATTTTTAAGAACACTAAACATCCATTTAATATTAAAAAAGATGGTAATCAGTATTAAAAATTCTGGTTGTAAAACATAATATCACAACGAACGTGAAAACAAGACAAAATACCTGTTTTAAATGAAATAATTATCAAAGCTTTTAAATTATTTTGATTTTTTGCTTAAAATTAAAAATTAAAATGTATTAACGTTTAAAGTACTTACCTATTTTTAGTTTCTTATTCAGCGACCACTTTGTGAAAATCTCATCATCACGTGAATATTTTATTTTATATAAAACAATTTTCACTAGCGTAAACAAACGGTTAGATGAAAGAGATAATTATTACCGACGACTGTCCCGCAACGATATTAAAGGCACACTGGATACAGAAAACTTTTCACGGTTTTCCCTAGTTTTCCGCAGCGCACCCTACATACGAAGCGCATAATCTAGTGATACTTAATACACGCTTGTTAAACGAATACAGCATTAAAGAAATATGCACATTTTTTTTTTTGAAAACGTTCGTTTATCCAATGGAGAACCGATGATAATTATTTTAAAAATAAGTGGTTTAAACATAAATATTTAGTTGGTTCATTGACATGCATAATATAATATAAATTTTACAAATACTAAATGTACATTAATACTTATTAATACATTCCATATAAATGATACATATTGCTGTTATTAACGCTAGCATGTATAAAAAAAATGTCTTCTATGATTAAAAAAATCCTAAAAATATTGTAAAAATAAAATAAGTTATTTACGTTTCTGGGTCAGATATAAAGATAATTTGGAGTAGCTTCAGTTTACGCATGGTTTTTGTTTACATGACTCACGTTTTCTTATATTATATATTATATTTTGTGGTATGGTATTTTTGTGTCATATTGAAACTGATTATTAATAAGCCAAGGAGCTTCCAAAATGTTCTTAATAATATTATTGTTGTAGTTTATTTATTTTTTTTAAAGACTTATTAAACCTAAAATGTAAATTAAATTAGCGTTCACACATTTTCAGCCTTAGTTGAATGTTTTTTTTTGAACGTTGAAATGAGTATTTAAATTATTTATTATACATTTAATATTTCAAAAATAGATGACCAAATATTAATTATTTATGATATACATTAAAAAATAATAAACTAATAATCAACAAGAGCTTCAAAAAATATTCTTAATAATTATTGTGGTTTATTTATTTTTGTCAAAGATTTGTTAAATTTAAAAAGTAAATTAAATATTTGTTTATACAGTGTCAACATTGTTTAAATATTTTTTTTTATATAATATATTATATTAATATATACATTGAAATAAGTGAACTATGATTTTCAATCAATTCAGTTTTTCAAAAATCGACGATAAGATATTTATTATTTATGATGTAGGTAAAAAGAATAAACTATGATATAATGAATAATTACATTGCACATAGATGTAGGTACTATGAGTACAATAGAAATTTCATGGTTTTGGCATTATACCAAGCACTATCCAGATGATTTGTTTCTTTAATTAATTTCATTCATTAGGCTTTCATTTAAATGACGGTTTATACCACACCTAAGGACATAACAGAAAAGTTTATCTGGATCAATGAAAATAAAACTTGATATTTCTTTCAAACACTTTAATGTGATAATGTACATCATAAATGATTTTCTTGATATTATTTAATAAAAGACATCTAGACATCATTGACAATTTATAATTTTATATATTAATAAAATGGGTAATATGAAAATGCAAAATTGTTGATATTGCAAAATGTTAAGATGTCATACGTAATGCGTATCACGTAAAATAAAATGTACAATCAACATTTATTTGGAACATTTGGTTGATAAACATCGGTAGTTCAGACAAAATTATCCATGTGTGCAAAACATTCGAGAAGATGTTATGATAGAAATTGTAAAAAATGAAAGGCGATTTAGGTAGATATTTAGTGAGGTGACCCGACCAAATTATAATACTATGCAGAACGTGCTAAGAGCAAAACGTTTCTATTTTTTGCAATACATATCATGCATAATATATACAAATACATATTATATAGGTAGACGGAAGGCATAAAATATGTGAAGTGAAATTGTTTCATAAAAATAGTCTTTCATGACAGAAATTAGAAAAATTATAAATTATTAAGGACTAGGTATATATGCAGGAAAATATAATAAAAAAGTCAACTAAATTCAAATTAGTGGAAAGATTAATATGTACGAAAGTGTATACCTACATTTAGTGTTTTCTCCATTAATATTTTCCGTGAAAACATTATTTTATTTTTTTAGAGCATTTTAAAATACACCAAACATTTTTTAGTAATTCTAATTTTATTTTTTTCAGCACTAAAATTTGACTGTAATATAGTAAATGAGGTACAGCTGTACACTTAACTTGCTAATCACTTTACTGAAGCTAATCATAACGATATTTAAAAGTAATTTTTCTATTTAAGTTATAATTCACATCATTAATCGTTATTTTCAAATAATGATATCGATATGTTGACTCAAGGATGAGTAAAAACATTTATTATTGGAATATTAGAAGAGTAATAATAATTAGGTGCTAACTATTTACTACAAACTATTATCGCATCACAGTGATCTATTTTATTTTTGTGTGTGAATTTTGTCTTGTTTTGATAGTTTTATAAGAAATGTATAGTGTAATATCATGTTTTATGTTATATTTTACGAGCGGCTGTTTCACATCATTTACTTTTAAATTATTTATTAAAACATTAACTTCTCGAGTTAAGGTATCCGATAGCGATATATTTTTCTACATTTATTATTTCGCTTGTATATTATTCTGTTATCGCCTATATAATATCTCGTATCATAACATCTGTAAGTTGTAGTATCCACAATTATTGTCTAATTGCCTAATTCTAGCGATACTATTCATTTTGCAATTGTAATATGGCCTTCTGTCGTAAATTTCCTGTCCTCATTTCTGTCATTTATTTTAATTCTGTGCTCTACCATAATCTTCTCTGTCACTATTCCAGTCATAAAACTTGTTTTTTAGTTATATCTAATATTGCAGGTTCATAATATCTACAACCTACGTCTATACATATCGTCTCTATACATAAACAAAGATTTATCGATTCGACTAAAACATTCAAAAACATTTTTTTTTTTAATATTAACCACCGCACCACACCAGGCTCCAACTATAATTCTTTAAATGTTATACGTTTTAATACTATATAATTTTTATAATTTAAAACAAAATTAGTAATAACAATCTAATATTATATTTATTAGCTATATATTTAAAATATTTATATAATTCAAAATTATGATTTACACTACCTATATAGATTCCCAACATTATAATACGTATAACGAACACACTACCAACTTTTTGGAAACTTTATAATTTCAAATATTAAATTTAAGGAAAGGATAAGTAATAAATTGATACTCCAGTAGCTATTGGAGTGTATGGTAGATATGAATTATAGTCGTGGAATCGATAAACGCCATCGTAGGTTCGTGTCAAATTTGTATTTTATACACAAAGATAGGGTTTAATTGTGTTAATAATTTAATATTACTAATTATAAGAGTAATTTGATTATATAATTTTTTTTTATTTATCTGAAATATGTATTATTACAATTTAACAGTTATAATATATATCATTGTAAGTTATTAATATAATATTAAATATATATAATATTGAATATTAATATTTTAAATTTAACTTAATATTTATAACTTATTACCAAAGATTAATAATTGGTAATTACTAATTACGTTTTAGGAGTAAAATTAAAATTAATTGTTGGTCATTATCAAATTTCTGTGTTATGGTTAGTTTTTATTTAGTATACAATATTTGAAAATTTTTAAATGTTGAATCTGATATTTAATGAAAATTTATCCAAAACTATTATCTCTAGTGAATATTTAGAATTAGAAATCTCAATTTTTCACAATATCTGTAATAGTTGCAATCTAAATAAATGAAATATGGTTACATAAAAGAATGCAAAAATCAATAGGTAACAGTTTAATAATATATTATGATATTTTGATGAATTGCATGTGCTTATTTTTCTAAAACAAAGTATTTATCACCAACTTATTTTTAAACTCTCAATGATTAATTATTGCACATTTAAAAACCAAATATTATGGTATTAATAGAATAATTTATGTGGTCGTGATGGTTTTCCAAAGTTATTATTTTATCACTTCAAAAATAGTTGGTGCAAGTAGCCCGAGTAGGATAAAAAATTGAGTAGAAACTACTGAGCAACGTTCAATTTAAAAACAATGATAAAAGAATACATTGCATTGCATTTCATGCATACATATAAAATAATTAAAATGGTTACTATTGTACTTACAACTTATAATACTTAAAACTGTTGTTTTGTATTTTTTTAAATACAATAGGTTGTACAATTTCAAAACTGACAAAAGTGACAAATATTTTTCTTTGACAATTGATTTATATATTTATATTTTACTAAAGTTCTTAAAGTAATAATATTATCGAAATACATTTTTTTTAACATTTGGTAACGATCTTTGAATTACTAAGCAAAAATGTTCATAGTAGGTAAGTACATAAACTGATTTAGTTATAAGCACACGAATATAATTTAATTTTGTGATAAAATAATAATTAGCGATACTGAACTATAGAATCTATATTGGACTACAAAATTACGCAGTAACATCAAAGAGCTTTTAATTGAAACATGTTGAGTACAATACCGGAATAAACTTTTGATTGAATATATTATGTTATGAATGATTAAAACAATTATTTTATCCGATATCCTGAACTAATAATTAATAATAAAAAAATAATATGTAAGTTAAAATTGTATTTTTACATAATACGTATCTATAATAGATGTAATTCAAATTAATTATATAATTATTGATTTATGTAATAACTATATGTTTGTGTACATAGGATAATTATAAATATAAATAAATACAAATTCCTTGAGTTAATAATTTATAGTTAACTTAAAATATTAATTATATTTGTAACAGGGATCATATAATCTATCATACCGTGGATCAAAACATGCAAAATACTCAGAAATTACGAGGTTATAATTATTAACCATATTAACTACGGCAAACAAACTTATATCTCCATCTTCGTCACCACCCTCCAGCTTGCGGAACACTCGACACGGTCAAATATATACTTCTAGAATGCCAAAAATATTTTGTGGTGTGACACAATTATCAATTGATAAACAGAAACTTTAGAATAAATCGTGGAACCCAAAATAAAAGCAGTCAATAAACTTATTACCTAATGTTTATAATTTTACAGAAGTGAATGAGCTAATTTAATATAACTCATGCATAAATATAAATGTAAAAACTGTAGAATTTTAACGGCCAATAATAACATTGTTGATGCCAAAAACATGTAAAAAGAAAAATGGAACTTTTCTTTTGTTGATTTTTTAGG